TGTATTTTCTTTCTTTTTTTCTTTAATCCTCACCCAAGGACATTTTTGCATTTATCTTCAGATAGAACAGAAGGGAGGGAGGGAGGAAGAGAGAGAGAAACATCGATGTGAGAGAGACACACATCGAGTGGTTGCCACCCACACAACCCCAACTGGGCCTGGGGAAAAACTGCCACCGAGATACGTGCCCCTAGCAGGAACCAAACCCAGGACTCTCTGGTCCGTGGGCTGATGCTCCAACCGCTGAGCCAAACCGGACAGGGCTTTTTTCCCACTTTTTATTAATTTATTTTTGTTATAGATGTTTCTCCTTTTCCCCCCTATACCCTCTTCCCCCACCCCCCTCATTGTGTAACTCTTGAATATAACTTTATCAAGAAGCTCCAGAACACCAGTACCTATGGGCTGTTACCATTTCTAGAGGTCAATTTATTGTCTTTTATCTGCCTGGCTTGGTCCAGACAGGGGAAGGAGAGAGGGTGATTTCACCATTTAGTTTGTAGTCATTCATATAATTTCAGATTTCAACCTTGTGCCTTACCACACCACATCACCCCAACCCACCTCTTTGTAGCTAATTCCAGATTTGAAATCTTTCTAGTTTGATCTTTCTAGTTCGATTTCTTTAGAAAACAAATCTCAGGTCTCTTGTGTTTAGTTGCGGGGGTGGGGAGGTTGAAGGAGTGGTTCAGAATTTACCACTTGGCTGCAAGTGATATTGCTTAAGAACAAACAAATGGCCACTGAAACAAAATGAAAGTACTGACATATATATATATGCACTTAATAAAAAGGTGATACAAATTAGGGAGAGGAAATGACTTAATAGAGTACTCAGAAACCAGGTCACTATATGGAGTAAATCAAAACCTCATCCCTTTCTAACACCATATATAAAAGTGACTTAAAATTAAATCTGTTTTTAGTTCTACACCACACTTATTCTTGCTTTCCAGAGCACTTAGTACCCTCTGTGAATTGCCTCCTTTCTTCTCAGTAGACCCTTTAAAGGTTATAGAGTTATAGGCCTCTCTTCTTTGTTAATCCAGTAATCAGTCATTTGCCTTCCAGGTTCCAAAAATTTCAATACCGTTTTTTCTACTGTTATCTTCTTCTCAGGTATCTCTGTCCTTGAGGGTTTATACTTCCTTTATTCCTGTACTATAATTTTAGGGCTTTGGAGAAAAAAAAATTTATATTCCATCTGTTATGTAGGAAATCAAGGGAAATTAAATCTAGTCCTAAAATGCCTGGCCCCATTACCTGTTAATTCACCTCCCTAATAGTGACTCCCTACTTGTCTGAATAAAATGCTTTCTCAGTGTAGGTCAGGAATTCTTCCTTTTATCCACTTGCCAAACCACTCCTGCTGTCTGCCTATAATGCTTCTTTTTATGATGCTCCTGAAACTATTAAATCACCTTTCCACCTTGAAGGGCATATCTAGTTTCAAGGTCCCAGCCTCGCTTGATAGAATTTGTTTCCTTTTTAAAACTGAGTTTTAACTTTTATTTTTTACTTTATTTTTTTTAATCCTCACCCGAGGACATTTTTCCATATTTTGTTCAGATAGAGTGGGAGGGAGAGGGGGAAGGAGGGAGGGAGAGAGAAAGAGAGAGAAACATCGACGTGAAAGTGACACATCGAGTGGTTGCCACCCGCACGACCCAACCAGGGCCAGGGACAGACTGCAACTGAGGTATGTGACCTTAGTGGGAACCGAACCCGGGTCTCTCTGGACCGTAGGCCCACGCTCTAACTGCTGAGCCAAACCGGCCAGGATGGGTTTTAACTTTTAAAGTTAAATATAATTTTAAGTAAAAAGTAATAGTCATTAATTTGTTCAAACAACTTACTGAGTGCCTACTATGTGCCAGATATTGAGAATGCAAAGATGAGAACCATATGGTCCTACCCTCAAGCTGCCCAACAAGCTAGTCTCACAACCTTTCTTAACTGGGAGACTGTCTTGAATCACAGGAAATGATTTAGGTGACTATTTTCTTAATTCTCTCCAAAAGGGTACATAAGTAGTACCACATTGGATGTATTCATTACACACAATAGATGCCTCAGAGTATTATACAAGTTAAAACATGGTACTGAAGGACTGAAATCCAGTTTGTCTGGTTCCAGCACTTGAGCTCTTAACCATTATGGTATAAAATCCCTTTCTAGCCCTGGCCGGTTTGGCTCAGCAGTTAGAGCGTCAGCCTGTGGTCCAGAGAGACCTGGGTTCGGTTGCCGCTAAGGGCACGTACCTTGGTTGCAGTTTGTGCCCGCCGTGGTTGGGTCATGTGGGTGGCAACCACTCGATGTGTCCCTTTCACGTGGATGTTTCTCTCTCTCTCCCCCTCCCACTCTATCTGAACAAAAAAATGGAAAAATGTCCTTGGGTGAGGATTAAAAAATAATAATAAAAAATAAAATAAAACCCTTTTGAAGTGACCAAATGTTCTTCCCAAGGAAATGAGGTAAAAATTATGTTGAAAGTATGGTCTGTTATAAATCTTAACATGAATAGTGTCATGGGTATGGAGAAAAGATAAGGGCTACACAAAGTGCATAAAACAAAAGACCAAGTAACCCAAACTCTGTATTTTGAATAATGAAAGGAAACAAAGAGCCATATAAATCCAAATTTAAGGTTTTTTTTTTTTAAGTAACTAAAATTAAGGTAATACAAGAAATGCTGTGTTATATCTTAAATGTATAAAAAAATATAATTTCTAGCAAAATGATTTAAAAAATGATCTCAATATAAAAGAACTCTAGATCAAGTATTACCTAAGATCCAAGAGCTTGCTCATAATTTTACTTTTCATTCAAAACTTAAAACAACAAATATCTGTATGAAAGAATGCATTCCCATTTTTTAAAATAGCAAAGTATATACAATAAACTTCAGTTTCTTATTTTTTAAACATGTCAAAAATAAAACCACTTCGAGAAGATAGAGATTATTATACCTTTTTGGTAATGTTGCAACCTTCAAATTTTTCTGTACAGGCATTTTCTGACAAATTTGGTTTTATAGAATAAAAGGTCAAGCTGCTAGGTTATTTCCAATAACATATTTTCCTATAGTCTGACATATAAACAGTCTACTATTATTAGTATAATGATTAACAGGAAATATTATAATGACATTTTGACTATGTGTAAAACAAAATTTAGTACTACTATTAAAAAGATTAGTATTATGAAAAAATAAGATTTAAAAAAATTATGTAACAGAAATCTACTTTTTCACTCATGTCTTCTCAACTTTTTCTATTAAAAAGATTAAAAAGGAAAATATTTTAATGACATTTTGACTATGTGTAATAAAACAAAATTTAGTATTACTATTAAAAAGATTAGTATTACTAAAAAATAAGATTTTAAAATATTATGTAACAGAAATCTCAACTTTTTCACTCATGTCTTTTACATAGTTCCTCTCATTTTATTTTTGACATTGTTATTTTGGGCTTTCATTTTATTTTTTCTTTCTCAAAGTCCTATTAATGTTTTGATTTAGCTATACAATATACATTTTCAAGTTAGGAAAATGTGTTTAGCTTTCCTTTTAAAAAATTTTTAACTGATCTTTTAGAGAGAGAAGAAGGGAGAGAGAGAGAGAAATATTGATGTGAGAGAGAAATACGGATCGGCTGTGTCCTGCACGTCCCCCACCAGGTACCGATCCCGCAACCCAAGCATGTGCCCTGACTAGGAATCGAACCAGGACCTCTCAGTCCACAGGACAATGCTCAATCCACTGAGCCACACCGGCCGGGCTTATCTTTCCTTTTTTAGATTTATGTCTTTTACCCAAACCATTAACGTTCTCTTCTAATTGGCAACTTCTAATGTTCTTTTAGCAAATACTCATTAGCTAAACTTTTCAAATAATTTCATGTCATATAACATGTTTTCTTTTAATAAATGGCCATAGAAAGCTAAGAATGCACTCTGTCAAGATAGCAATTACCCTTTAGCTCACCCATGAAGGGTCTCTCTTCAGAGTCTCTTTGAAATGTTAAGATGTAATGTTTACCAACAAATACACATTTTTTAAAATGTAACTTCCATGTATTAATTTGGCTATAACAACAACAAAAAAAGTGCTGTCCTGCCCTGACTGGTTTGTCTCAGCAGTTAAAACTTAGAGCGTCGGCCCACGGACTGGAGAGTTGCAGGTCCGATCCCCAGTTGGGGTTGTGCAAGAGGCAACCAATTTGATTTCTCTCTCTCTCTCTCTGCCCACCCCCACTCTATTAAAAATAAAAAATCAATGGGAAAATACCATCGGATGAGGATTAACAAAAAACAAACAAACCAACAAACAAAAGTGTTGTCCTAACTTAATTTTAGTTTAAATTAAATGGAGAAGGCTCATAAGTTTAATCCTAGCTGTGCCTTACATGCTGTAGGTTGTTGCTTGATGTACAAGTTGAGTTTGAAATAATACAGAATATTTTAAAATTTAAATCAGAAACCCTGTCCAATTCTTTGATTCAAATAAATTTGTATCTAAATGTGACTATCTTGATGGTTATTATGAACTTTCATTCTTATTCTAAACATGTCAGGATCATTAAGGCACTGAGTATAAATTAGAGACTCTAACTTATCCAAAAAGTCATAGATCAAGTATAACCTTGAAATCTGGGAAAGAGGGCTACTTCAAAGCTTGTGTGCACACAGGGTGTAGGTGGGTGGTAGGTAGCTGGGTAATTACATATTCCCATACTTATCATCTTACATTAGGAAAGAAAGAGCCTTAAGTCTCATCTATTGCTTAGTCAGTAGTTTTGAATGCTTGGTTTTAATACTAAAGTAAGTGCCACATTAATATTAACCCTAAATTCGGTCTCAGATGTCTTAACTACACATTCAAAATAAATTGACCCTTTCATATCCCAAACACTGAAATCAGGGTACTGGTAGTGTTTTCAATCTGGAAGATAAATGTGTAATTTTAGAAAGCAAAATTAAAAGTCAGAATTTCATACCTTGTGCAAGCATGTTAAATTCCAAGAACAGTGCTATGTGGTAAAGTTCCATGGCTTCTTCTGCCCTGGTCATGTTTGGTTTCCCTGCGACGAGAGCCTGAACTTCACTGAGACTCCCCACAGAGGGGCTACAGTGCAAAACGGAGAGGTCCACCACGTCGGTATACATACAGTGTAATATAACTTTTGCATATTTTTTTGGTATAATGGACTCATCTAATATAATTCTTGTGGGAGTCCTCAAAGTTCGGTCTGTAATTTCTTCACCAGTCCGTATCCTCCTTTGTAATAAATTTCGAAAAAATGGGGACCGTGCTGAAATAACAGCCTTGTGAGCTTTGAGCTCTTCATCTAAACAGTTTTGATTTCCACCAAAAGCTTCAACCAGTTCAGAGTCTGAAGAAAAACTAAGGACGACATCATAATAACACATGTAATCAAAAAGTCCACGCATATCTACATCAAGGGAATTTGGTGTTCCAAATTCTTCACTAAGCTGAACCAGGATATCGACATTTTGAAACCTTGAGTCCTCCATTCCAAACTCTCCAGTATAAAGGTAGTGTAACAAAGCAGAAAACATAGGCATATCTATACCAGCTGTATTGATGTCCATTATGATCTCTGCCCCATACTCAGGTGAGGAAGAAAGCAGTGTTTTAAAAAATGGACACCTTGCTGCCAAAATGGCACGATGAACAGGAAAACAAGTTTCTTGAAATATTAAATCCACATCAGTACAATACTTATACTCATAAAGATCGGCCATATCTTTCTGCAATGTCCGGGCTTCTGGTCTAGCCAAACTGGCTTGCAGAGAAAGCTCCTTTAAGGCTGAAGTTCCCTCATATTCCTCCACTAATGCATTGACATCTCTAACATCCCACCCAGAGAGGAGTTCTCGCATCTGCTTGGCGTGATCAGCAGACCTATTAGATTTTCGACGCTTTATAAACTTCTTTTTGAGGGTGGCAAGGCCAGAGGTTCTCTTTTTTTTGTCTTGTGGTTTCTCATGGCCATGGTCAAGGCTATATAATTTTGATTCACAACCATAGCCTTGCTGAGAATAGGATGATGTCCCTAAGAAGGAAATTAAAGAAATAAAAATGTTTCTTTTTTTAACATTCATTTTCAACATTTACTTTAACACATATTTCATGCTAGAAGTTTTTTATAGACATTCCTGAACCATTAAAAAAACTTGATTTTGTTTTTATACAGATAAAAAGTTCAAATAACTTGTTTTTATATTAAATAAGAAATACGACAAACAGAACAGATTTACATTTGTCAGGGAAAAAATCCTGGACGCTGCAGAATTATGATCTATAACAACTTTTTCACAGCTCAATTATCTTTTCATAGAAAAAGACCACTGAAAACACAATTCTATTTATATTCACAAAAATAAAACAAAGTTAGGAAAAATAAAAGTTACCTATAAAAGTCTGTTGGGCTTGAGAATTTCCCCCTACCCTTGGGGAACATGAATGAGGATAGTTAGATGCATTAGCACCCATTTTCTTCAGTCACTCAGGCATTCCATCTGCTGGTTCTTCAGAGTATAATCCCAGAGGCCTTTATGAACTTTCAACCCTGGATCCAGCAGCCTCTTTTCATCCATTTCTTGATATGAAACAAAAATAATTTTATTTATATTTTCAAATATATCTCAAATTGCACAGTCAAAAAAAGTAAGCTAATGAAAACTGCTTTTATTTGCAAATAATGACATGCTGTCAAATTCACATGCAAAAATTTCTGAAAAGTAAACAATTAAACTTGAATTAGGAATCAGTGTTAGCTGCAATTCTTAGCCATAAGATATACCAATTATATACTTTATATGATAGTAAAAAGCAACACATCATACTAATGTAAATATATAGTTATAGAAAGAGTAATTTAAATCACAGGGGGGAAAATCACAGGTAAAAGTATTTAGATTAGAAAAATGATTTTGAAAAAAATTTTAATCCTTAGAAGCAGTCACTAGTTATTATAATCGAACACTCAAAACTATTTACGAACATTTAGGAAGTTGATAACAGTACACATACAAAGAACAGATAATTGCCCTGGCCAGTCTGGCTCAGCGGTTAGAGTGTCGGCCTGCGGTCCAGAGAGACCCGGGTTCGATTTCCGCTAAGGGCAGGTACCTCGCAGTTTGTCCCTGGCCCCAGATGGGGTTGTGCGGGAGGCAGCCACTCAATGTGTCCCTTTCACGTCGACGTTTCTCTCTCTCTCTCTTCCTCCCATGCTACCTGAACCAAAAAAAAAGAAAAAATGTCCTCAGGTAAGAATTAAAAAGAAAAAAAAAAAAGGCAGATAATTAAGTGATTGGTTTGTTGCTTTCTGTTTTAGCTAAAACCATTTAAACTGATCTTTAATTTGTGAAATTGGGCATTTTACTGAAAGAAGGGGAAGGAACAGTGAGCAGTTGAAACTGGTGAGCAGTTGAAACTAAGTATCTTTAGGTTACTTGTTCCATAGTAATTTTTTTTTAATTTTTTTTTTTTTTTATCCTTACCCGAGGACATTTTTTGATATTTTGTTCAGATAGAGTGAGAGGGAGAGAGAGAGAGAGAAACATCGATGTGAAAGCGACACATCGAGTGGCTGCCACCCACAAGACCCAACCAGGGCTGGGAACAAACTGCAACCAAGGTACATGCCCCTAGCGGGAACCGAACCCGGGTCTCTCCAGACCGCAGGCCGACGCTCTAACCGCTGAGCCAAACTGGCCAGGGCGTTCCATAGTAATTTTAAGAGAAATTATTATAAATACAGTTAGGCACAAGAAAAAAATAAAAACTAACTATCTTCCCCATAAAGACCTAAAATAAAAACAGTGCTTTCTACTACCTGATATTTTGACTTAATATGGACAGGACAATACTAGTAAGAGATCATTTTAACAATTGCAGAATAAATTCCACACTCTGGAACCCTAACTTTCAGAGCTGCCAGCAAGAGCTCTACATATGCACAGAGAAGAAACCCTGGGAGAACAGGGTTAATAAGAATACTTCTAAACCTTTACAGCATCTGGCTTTATAAAATTTACCTGACTAGCCCAGCTGGTATGGCTCAGTGGACTGAGCATTATCCCATGGACTAAGAGGTTCCGGTTTCATTCCCAGTCAGGGCACATGCCTGGATTGTGGGCTCAATCCCCAGAGGGGGACATGCAGGAGGCAGCCAACTGATGTGTGTCTCTTACATCAATGTTTCTCTCTCTCTCTCTAAAAAAAATCAATATATATTTAAAATTTATCTGACTAAAAGGGATAATGATTTAAGAGAAAATACAATTTATAATCTATTATTGGAATTGTTAGGAAACCAACCAGTTAATTTAGGAGGCAGTTAATTTATTTTCCTAATGAATGATAAAGAGCTTTAACAAATAGTTAAACACAAATACACAATTACAAAAATCTGCTGGAAAACAGAACTGTGTCGAGATTCTTAGAATTTATTTTCATGTCTGTTACTGACACAGCATAACCTTAGGAATTCAAGTTTAAGAAAAATCAGTTAACATTGTGTTTTCCTTCAATACTCTTCCACCATATATATGAAAATTTATTAAGGCATAGCATTATCTACCTATAGTGTCCAAGAGAAGACTGGGAAACTTTCCACTAATTATATATCATGCAAAGTAGCAGAAACTTAAATCATATACTCATACAAGCAAATTTCCTATTTGAAATTTACCTGCCCACCAAAGAAAACACAGCACATTACACTTTTTACTTTAGTATATGCTACTGAAGTCAGAAAGGCTATGGGCAGCCAGAGATGTGAGTGCGTTCTTACAGAACTACCCACCAGCAAGGAATCCAAAGAGTTTAATATACTGACTATTTTGTAAATGTTAAAATGGTCAAGAAAATTACTTCTTCCAGCAAAGTCAGTTTTCTTAAAGTTTGATGCTTAGTGTAAGTAAACTCAGTCTTCTAGTCTTAAAAATGTAGAAAAGGCTGCCTTCTTTTGTAATTCATTTTGAATGTGGTCAATTCTTGTAAAACAGAAACTAAATCTGCCTGTGTTAATTTGAGTCCAAACTTTAAAAAATGTAAGTCAAATAAATCTTTGTTTTCAAGTTGAGTTCCTTAAAAGTTTCAAAGTTCTTTCAGGTATTTTTAGTGGTTCTTTAAAAGAAATTAGGGCCCTAAGAAGCCCAGTCTGTAGCCTTATTTACAAGTAAAATACATTCTTAGTCACTGAAGATTTATATTTAAACCATAAAAATGGCAGAGATAATCCCTTGTCAAATTTGAAATATATAAGAAAGATCCAAAATATAAACATTATGCAAAATAAAAGTCTTTACCAAGACTGAGAAAAAAAGATTAAAAAAATGAGCTTTGACTCTGTAAGTAATGTGGACGGTGAAAAGTGCTGGTAAAGTGTTTCTCAAGTGTCACTCCTATGGGAGTCCTCTTCTCATTCTTCTTTCCTCACTCTTGAAGTTCCACATTGCTTCCTTTCTTCTTTGTAATTTCTAATAACTGCAGAAAAAACTCACTAACATAGCACAAAGTATGCTGTTGAAATAAAACAAGGAAGAATGGAGCCTTGCTTCCAAATGAAGAAAAATCAGTGTCCACAGAGCTCTCACTTCATCACATCACACACACACACACACAAGAATTATTTTCATCTGAGAATTTTGTAAGATTTGTAGGGACACAAAACACTTTTACACTGGTCCATTTGAAATTTAGACCTCATCAAAAATGCCTTTTAAAAAGTGCTCAATTTTATGATGAGCACAATTAGAGAATCTAAAGCAACCATATAAGGGTTATAAGATATTATCAGTCCCACTAGAGACACAAGAACAGCCAGCAAGCATTAGGGAAGTCACAGGCTGAGATAAGGATGCTTTGGCCATCTGCCACCATAATGAGCACCACAGGGGCAGCTGGAGTCTCATCATGAAGGGGTGGTTTGAAATAAAAGTGTCTTTGGGACTTAGGGACAGAGTCTCTTCCTGGTAGCTACTAGTCAATGGGAATCCTGTTCAGATGAACTGATCTGGGTAACATTCCTATCTCCTACTGGAGCTCTAATACCAATATAAAGGCCTTGGAAAGACTTGGTGGGAGAGATTTTTCTGGACCGGATATAACCATTAAGACTCTGTCCTTAGTTCCAAACCCTGGGGGTAACCTTGACTGTACAGTTCTAGTACTAAAGCCATATTTCTTAAAATTCTCAGGGAACAAATTTATTTATTTCTTAGTCAACCAAAACCCTATGCTAAATGGAGCACAGTATTATGTTATTCATTGCTTAACCTAATCCGCTGCCTTTACATGCTGGAAATGAGAGTTAGTCATAGTCTTAATCTCTCCAGGGATGTTTTCATACCAGGCAACCTTTGTCTGTCTCCAACATGAAGCAGTAAGAAATCCAATTTTTGAATGATATGACAGGCAAGGAAAGGAAAGGAAAGGAGGGCCTATGGGTCTAGGAAAGGCACACAGGATGCAATGGCCCTAGAAAGCTGGTAAATCCTTTTCCTAGTTTTACCATTCTGGGAGAGCTCCCTCTGTTAATAGCTGACATAACCAATCTCAATCAGTTGATCTAACTGGCTTAAAATAAGAGACTGTAGTAGACCTAACTGAGGGGGGAGGAATCATGTTGAATGCAACAGAGAGAACTAATATTCCTATGAGAACTGGGTAAAAAACAAAAAACAACCTCTCCCCTCAAAAACAAAACAAAACAAAAAACCCTAGACCAGCATTTCCAAAGAGTCTTCTCAAAATTTGAAAAATGCAAGATTAAATAGAGCCTAAGAGGTTTCTTTATTTCAGGACAGTTTAGCATTATCTTTCAAGTGCTAAGGTCATCATAAATCTCGAAAAAGTAGTATTCAGCATGATCTAATAAAGGCCCATCTTTGCCCCACATTTATGATTTTAAATTGTATCATGAAAAGTTTCAAAAATACACAAAAGAGCCCTGGCTGGTTTGGCTCAATGGTTTGGCCCACAGACCAAAGAGTTTCTAGTGTGGTTCAGTCTCAGGCAGGGTTGTGCGGGAGGGGCAACCAACTACGTGTCTCTTTCACATCGATATCTCTCCCCGCCCCCACACTATCTGAAGATTAATGGAAAAATGTCCTCAGGTGAAGATTTTTTAAAAAATACACAAAAGAGAATAATATACTGAACCCCTAAACCTCCATCATCCAGATTCCAGAATTATCAAAATTGTTTTGGCTTATATTTAAATGCTTGAATTTGATGTGTAAAGTTTATAGCTAGCATTTAAATGTTTGTTATCAGCTTCTCATAGAAATAAAATCTGGAGATACATGTATTCTGTGATTAAAATAATTATAACACTCATCAGTTTTTGAGTACTATGAGTCAGCCATTCTTAAGCAGTTTATTTTACATGAATTAACTCCTTTAATTTTTTCAATAATGAGAGGTGTAGGTCTATTATTATCCCCACTTTATTTTTTTTAATATGTTTTTATTTTTCAGAGAGAGAGAGGAAAAGAGAGATAGAAACATCGACTGGCTGCCTATTGCATGGCCCCCACCAGGGATGTAGCCCGCAACATGGCCATGTGCCCTGACTGGAAATCGAAATGGCACTTCTCAGTCCATGGGCGACACTCAATCCACTGAGCCACACAGGCCAGGTCCCACTTTATTTCTTTAAAGAAAGTCTTTCTAAGAAAATTGATTTTTAGAGAGAGAGTGAGAAAAAGAAAGAGAGAGAGAGAGAGAGAAACACACACACACACACACACACACACACACTCCCCATGTGTTTTCCATTTATTTAAGCATTCATTGGCTGATACTTTTATGTGCCCTGACTAGGGATCAAACCAGCAGCCTTAGCATATTTGGGACAACACTCTAAACAACTAAGCTATCCAGCCAGGCTTATCCCCACTTTACACAAGGAGAGCCTGGGAAGTTAGGAAAATGAGGTATGGAAGGCTTAGTTACTTAACCAAGGTCACAGAGCTGGTAAGCTGCAAAACCAGGCTTGGCATTCAGGCTCTGATGAACAATATTATCTTTGCAATTTTTTTCCTCCTAAATGTTTGAAGAAAAAATTTCCAGAGCAAATATAGTATCATTCCAAAAATGGGAAGTGAGTACACATTTGACAGTGTGACTTTTGTCCTTTAAAAGGATCTTTCATGTTAAGCAAAAATGACTTAACTGAAAGGATATCTCATGAAATCAAAGCAAAAGTGTCTTTCTGAATATTTACAGCTAGACTATATGCTCCTTGATGGCACAATGACACTTTTTTATGCCTGATCATCCACTCATCCACCAATCCGCCCATCCATCCAATTCTGAGCATTTACCATCTGCTAGGCACTTAGACCCTAGGATACAGCAGTGATTGCGTACTGAATAGGATCTCTTATGAAATTAAGAAAAAGACTACTGTTCTGGCTTCCTAGTTTAGAGCCAGAACTTCAAGAATAGGAGTGCACTGAGTGAAAAAGAAAAGGTCATTTAAGGTATTAGAAAAGGATAAATAGGAGTAGCTCCCATCCTAGTCAGCATCCCACTCCCACTTCTCATAACCCTATACCTCTATTATCTACTAACATTGCAGCACAATTACTTACATTTGCACCGAACTGTTAAGTTTCCCAAGGGTAGGTACTCAGTCTATTTATCTTAGAATCCTCACCATCCACCGCAGAACACAAAGGTCTGACCTGGCCTGGATGAAATACATAGTAGAGATGTTCAGGTATACTGAAAAACTCAGTTTCTAGACACCTAAACCTGAAGACCAATTACTGGAAGGTGACGGATAAAAGACCTACGCAGCTACATTGAGACATGAACGGGTCTCTTACTCTACCATTTACCTCAGAGCTCACACTCAAAATGCTTTATCCAGACTTAAAACCTAAGAATAAGATCTTCCTGCAGTAACAGGTGGAAAAAGGAAACAGAAGGCTGAAAAGATCCAGAAGCCTGACTCTAGCACCTGGGCCTTGCTTATCCCCTCTGTCTGAGCCTTTGGCAGTGCTAACTGAGACCTGAAAGGGGAAGAAGCCTGGGCCAGAGTAGTGACGAACACAGCAGCCAGAATAGGAGCTGCTTGCCCCTGCCACCTCAATACCAAAACATTTGTTGTCTTCTCCTAGCAGCTAGATCCTCCCAAACTAAGGGAGCTGTAGAAGGATCAAAAAAATGTTCTCCAACAAGCTAGGAAGATGGAAACGACTGTGAGGTTCTCCAAGAGAGACTGTAGAACCTGCTCAGTAAACTGTCTTATAAGGTAATGATGCCATTTAGTTCATGACAGAAAGACTAACTTTAAGCCAGGCACACAATATTTGAATGAATAAATGAAATCATTGTTCTAATGGGGACAACTGTTGGCTTACTGGTGTATAGGAAAACGGCTCTGGGTGTTCTAGAGAAAGTAATGAGCAATCTGTGTCTAGGTTTGCATTTACAAAGGATTTGCCAAGAGAAATAGGGCTGAAAGCAGAGAATACATTCAAAGAAACAAAATTTAAAAGAAGAAAACATGAATTTCTCATTACTTCATTCAAAAACAAAAACTTCACATTTTCTAACATGAACTTATTCAGTAAATGTTAAAAAATATGTAAGGGCGAACACCCAGAAAGAGAAACTAAAAAAAACAAACAAACAAAAAATCCCATTTACCATTGCAACAACAAAAAAATTAAGATACCTAGGAATAAACTTAACCAAGGAGGTAAAAATTTGTTCTCAGAAAACTACAGAACATTGAAAAAAAGAAATAAAGAAAGACATACAAAAGTGGAAGCATATACCATGCTCATGAAGAATCAACATCATTAAAATGTCCATAGTACCTAAGCAATCTATAGATTCAATACACATATATATATACACGCATGTGGGTGTGTATGTATATATGCATATTTCTTGTTGATGAGTTTTTGAGGGTTTCATGGGTAGAGTTGGAGAGGCAAGAAAACATGCTGAATGAACCTGAGACTATAGCTGTATGTGGAGAAAAATAAAGAACAAAACAGAAACATGAATACAAACACTCAAGAGTATCCTCATCCAAGTCAGTCTTCATAAAGGCATCCAATTCCAAAGTATTGGATCATCAAGGGAATAGTCATGTGAATGGTCCCATGAATTATTCAAGTTCTTATAAATAGAAAGATATAATCGTTTGGGAGCTAGAGATAATTCTGTACTAAAATTTTTCCTTACATCATCCAGACTAAGAGAGTTAAATAAATATGGGAGGAAAACCCACTACTTTAAATTTGCCATAAAAAGGAAGAGCAAGCTATATATATAAAATAGAGCTTTGGCTTTAATTATTTTTTCTATTAATTAGAGAGAGAGAGAGAGAGAGAGAAAGAGAGAAACAACTTGTTGTCCCACTTATTTATGCATTCATTGGTTGTTTCTTGTATGTACCCTGACCAGGGATCGAAACCTGCAACCTTGGTGTATCAAATGATGCTCTAACCAACTGAGCTACCTGGCCAGGGCAGGGCATTAGCTTTCATAAAGGCCACACATTTCATTATGATGGGCTTCTGCCCATTACAGTACCTACTAAAATCTACAGAATCTTTGTTAGCATGTCAAATGAAGATATGTTCCTAAATTTCTTCTTAAGTCTATAGTTAGAAAGAATCTTGTATACAGCAGTCCTGGTAAAATAAGCTGTGATAAACAAGTTTTGATAAACCAGTTATGAAGAACCCTCTTGCAGAGACACCAACAAGACCTCTAAGGTAAAAAAAGAAATAGAAAATCAGACAAAACTCAGTCTCATAAGAATTTTTAGAGGCCTTTCTTGGAACTATGATAAAAAAAACTGTCCTGCCTGGTCGGTTTGGCTAAGCGATTAGATCGTAGGCCCGCAGCCCAGAGAGACCCGGGTTTGGTTCCTACTAAGGGCATGTATCTCGGTTGCAGTTTGCCCCCAGCCCCGGTTGGGGTTGTGCAGGAGGCAGCCACTCGATGTGTCCCTTTCATGTTGATGTTTCTCTCCCTTCCTCCCCATTCTATCTGAACAAAAAATGGAAAAATGTCCTGGGGTGAGGATTAAAATAAAATTTCCCTATCTCCCTCCTGAAACCCACTTGTGTTACCTACTTGTTATAGTAGAAACACTTAAAGAAGGTATTACAGTAAAAAATATGACACTGAAATAGATATTCTAGGTCCTGTTTGTGCAATGTAAGTCTGCATCTCTTAAAACACCATTTTGCATTTGTTGAGGACATCTTTAATAAAAAATTAAGACAATCTATATAAAGTCCTTATCATAGAATACTTAGTAAATGTTCAACAATTTAGTGAGGGGGTGATGGAGAAGGAGAAGGGAATGATGATGAGGTCTCTATCTTGCATGACCGGGTGGCTAGCAATACTGTGAACCAAGAAAAAACATGGCATGCAATCTGGGGGTAAACTGGGAATAATAAAGATAATGGGTTTGAGGTCTCAGAAAGACATACCACAGAAGAAATAATGCAAATACAGTATACATAAGGGAAGAGGTCTACAAACAACTTTCCTAATACTAATATCTTCACTTCTGGAGAGAAATGTATTACAATACAGCATTCTCTCAATATGATAATTCATCTACTTCTGATTGAGGATTTTATTTATAAATGTCCTATCAATGTTTACAAAAGATAAATGGAGAATCTAAGAAGTGACACTGTTCATTCCTTAAGGCGCGAGGCCATTTTGGCATAACTCTACAATACTGCACAGTGCCTGGCAAAACAAAAGTGCTATCCCAGTTCTATCTTTAACATGTCTGAGTCTATGTGTTCACTCAACAGTATTTGTATTACTGTCATCTAGATACTATCAGTAAGACATCTTAGATATTAGAGTATTTTATTAACTAAGATTTTTAGGGATTACTTCTTGTTAAAAAAATTTTTTTTCTTTATTTTTTTAAAGAGAGAAGAAGGGAGAGGGGGAGAGAGAGAGAGAGAGAGAAACATCAATGAGAGAGAACACTGACTGGCCACCTCCTGCACGTCCCCTTTTAGGGATTTGGCCCACAACCTGGGCATGTGCTCTGACTGGGAATCGAAGCAGTGACCTCTTGGTGCATGGGTCGACGTTCAACCACTGAGCCACGCTGGCGGGGCTAGGGATTACTTCTTGAAACCAAGGTTCTCTTCATCACTTGTCTCATATCTGTCTTCTCTTAACAGAAGATAAATACCCTTTGGGTTTGCCCTGGCCAGTTTGGCTCAGCGGTTAGGGTGTTGGACCACGGACCAAAGAGTCATGGGTTTGATTCAGATCAAGGGCATGCATGTACCTTGGTTGCAGTTCAGTCCCTGGGGTAGTGCAGGAGGCAATCAATCGATGTGTGTCTCTCTCTTGTTGATGTTTCTCTCTCTCTCCCCCTGACTCTATCTGAAAATAAATGGAAAAAAGTATCCTTGGGAGAGAATTAAACAAACAAAAAACCCTTTGGGTTCACTGTGCCAATAAAAATAACACCTCATAGCCCTGGCTGGTTTGGCTCAGCGATTAGAGCGTCAGCCTGCGGTCCAGAGAGACCCAGGTTCGGTTCCCGCTAAGGGCATGTTCCTCGGTTGCTGTTTGTCCCCGGCTCTGGTTGGGTCGTTCAGGTGGCAACCACTCAATGTGTCCCTTTCACGTCGATGTTTCTCTCTCTTCCTCTCCCTATCTCTCCCTCCCACTCTATCTGAACAAAAAATGAAAAAATGTCCTCGGGTGAGTATAAAAAATAAAATAAAATAAATAAAATAAAATAAAATAATCCAGAGAGTTAAAATATTTTTTAAAAAATAATAAAAAATAACACCTCATAGGAAGAGGATATGATGTAAGTGGTAATTATTATTATTGGAATGTCATCTTGTCAGCAGTAATACCTTGCCAGCATCTCCCATCTCATAAATGAATAGATATACAATATTTTCTAAAATCATTAACAGAATATACAAATAAAATCCCCTAACATTTTTCTTTTTTAAATATGTTTTTATTGTTTTGTTTTGTTTTTTAGAGAGAGAGAGGAAGGGAGAGAGAGATAGAAACATCGATGTGAGAGAGAAACATCGACCGGCTGCCTTCTGCACGCCCCCTACCGGGGATCAGGCCTGCAACCCAGGTATATGCCCTGACTGAGAATCAAACCTGGATCCCTCTCAGTTCATGGGATGATGCTCAATCTACTAATCCACACAGGCAAGGCCCTAATGTTTTTCAATCTTTAGTTTTCCTTTACCTTTCTTTCTAATGAGATAAACCATCCTTATATGGGTACTAGGTGCTAGTTGAGATAGACAGCTAAGTTGTCTTCTTAAAAAGCATTTCCTGCCCTGGTTGGTTTAGCTCAACGGTTAGAGTATCAGCCCTAGGACCGAAGGGTCTCAGGTTTGATTCCCAGTCAGGGGCATGTACCTCGGTGGCAGATTCAACCCCTAGCCCTGATCCAGATCATGTGGGAGACAGTCAATAGATGTATCTCTCTCATATGGATGTTTGTTTCTCTCCTTCCCTCCCTCTCTCCCTTCTACTCTATTTAAAAATCAATGGAAAAATATCCTCCGGTGAGGATTTTTTAAAAATGCATTTCCTGTTCCTACCTTTGGGGCCTGCTATTATTCTCTTTGCCTGGAACACTTTTCCACAAAGTCTTTACATGGTTCACTCTCTCATTTTATTCAGGTCTTTGCTCAAAAGTCACACCCTCAGAGAAGCTTTTCCT